GGGGGAGGGGGGGTCAAGTGGGCATGTACCCAGGACTTGATTCCTGGGAAAGCTCGGTTTTTTTCAGAAGTCATTTACTACTAGCGATTCCCCAGCACCGCCCCTCCGCCCCCTCCCCTCCGCTGAAACCTCCAGCCCAGCCGCGGCAGAGCAGGGGTGCGTGACTTGAGCAGAAACCTTTGCGTGGCTTCCTCTCCGCGGGAACGGAGCGGGGGCTGCCACCGGGGGAGGAGAGGGCAGACGGAAGGGACGTGTGTTACAGGGCGCTCCTCTCGCCTGCATCTCTTTTTATTCTTATAACTGTTGTTTTATTTCTTTGTTATTGCTCTGGAAAATGTTAGAAGAGGGAAAAGAGAGGAGGTACTTTTACAAAGACCTTGGCAGGCTTTTTTTTGTTTTGTTTTGTTTTGTGTTTTTTTTCCTGTAGGAATATCATAAATAATTTCCAAGAAAATGCTAGCGACCTCGTCTGAATAGCTCTGTAATATGTTTTCTCTTTTTCTCTCAAACTCGGAACTTTCTTGGCAGTGCTCTGAAAAAAAAACCAACACCAAACAAAAATACAGATATATCAAAAAAGTCTGTCGTAATCTCTGGGCATAGAGGTTTCGTTAAAGTGCACCCGGTGAAAATAGTTGCTCGCGGGTGTTACACAGGCAATCCGCCCGTTTCAGCACTTGTTGACTGTTAGGGTACTAAACAAAATTCGCGCTGTTACTTGGCGTTTTGCTCTTAAAGCCGCTTTGAACAAATGCACACTGAGAAGGACCACGCGTCGCAGTACGGATAGGCAATTTTGGATCGCTTGCAGTTTTGTAGGCAAGCACATGTTATTCCCTCTGAATGCCCTGGGAGCGCAGGGGCTTGATTTCTGGGAGTGCAACTGGCAACCTTATCACACTGACAACGGATTTGTAGGTCAGAAGCATTACCGTTGTTCACTTTATTGGTGCTGGCTTGAACCTCTCACCTATACATTTTAGTTTCTTCTTTATTGCGCCAAAATGCTAGTTTTATCAGGCTCTCTGCTTCCTCACTACTTCAGGGTTATGTTGTGTTCCCTCAGCTTTGCTTAAAACCGAGCAGAAACACATCAGCACCATATATTAAACCTTTCGAAAATAGATTTCTGACGGCTGAGAAAGTTACTGCATTAATAACTACATCAGTGTCTGACAGTTGCTGATGGTCATCTGAAGCTAAATTCTAATGTGTTTGTACTACCAATATTTCCCTGATCCACGAAAGTATTCAAAATGCAAAATCAGGCCGCTGCCCTTAAATTTTCTGTTTTTACAGTGTTTGACAAAGGCAAAATTCACAAAACAGCTGTTTGGTTTTTTTCAAGTAGAAAACTTGATCCGGTATTGAAACGCTTACTCGTATGCATTTTACTTCATTTATTAGCTTGTAATTAAATAAATCAGCAACAGAAATTAAAATCTAAATCACAAAAGGTAATTATCCAGTGTATTTCAAGTGCATTTTCAAATATATATTTCCAATATTCAAGCGTTATTATATAAGCAGAATCCAAATTTCTTTTGAATATATTTAAATAACATTTCAAGTATATTTATGGAATGTTAGAAATAGAACAAGCAATATATATGAAACGAAAAATGTAAACTTGTTAAGTTCAGACACTTCAAAAGACAATTAACAAAAGTACCGTGATAAAATCTACCTTTTAAAATGGTATCTTCTCTTTAGCAGAAAATGTCCTTGAAGTATCCAAAATGGCAATTTAACTTCTGTTCACCAAATCACAAAACACCAACACCCACAATTTCAAAGACAATGTGAGATCACAATATTTGATACAAATTAAAAGGTACATTAGGGTTTGTTCAGGTGGCATATCCAAATAGCTTTTACTCACAGAGGGTTTACATAAAAATACCGGGTTTTGTTATAATCCGTTGGTACCACTTCTAGGCAGAATGGTCACAATCGTGTTAAATTACGGCCAATTTTGCTTTCCGAGTAACATACTTTATTTTTTCCATTTTCTTTTTTCTTTTCTCTCTCTTTTTTTTTTCCCCCTTTTTTTTTTTTTTTTTCCCCCCTTTTTTTTTTTTTTTTTCCCCCCTTTTTTTTTTTTTTTTTCCCCCCTTTTTTTTTTTTTTTTTCCCCCCTTTTTTTTTTTTTTTTTCCCCCCTTTTTTTTTTTTTTTTTCCCCCCTTTTTTTTTTTTTTTTTCCCCCCTTTTTTTTTTTTTTTTTCCCCCCTTTTTTTTTTTTTTTTTCCCCCCTTTTTTTTTTTTTTTTTCCCCCCTTTTTTTTTTTTTTTTTCCCCCCTTTTTTTTTTTTTTTTTCTTCTTTTTCTTTCACGGGGAATTGCAAAACTCTGACGAAGATAAGAGGAACGATACTTGCTGTTCTCATTTGCTTTTCTTTGAGAAGAGCCTAAGTTATATTCCTTTTTAAAAAGAGAATATTATTCGCATTCTCTGGTGGAAATACTTGACTTTTCGAACAGGCAACTTAAACTTCATCGGCAAATAAGCAGATTTATCGGTCAGGCGGGTTTGTAGTTACCCTCTAAAGTTTCTCCAAACTTTTCGGGTTGGTAAGTATTTCCCTAGCCAGTCGCCACGTTTGTTTGGCCGCGTTTTCCAGGGCCGAGTGAGGTTTGCCCTGAAAGAGGTCTAAGTTGGGCAAGAAGTAATGCGGGCACCTCCTGCACTGGAGGCAGGAGATGAGCTGCAGTAAAATCCCGTTGAGCCGGTCCCCCAGGCACGACTCGTCCCAGTCCGATTCGCGGGGATGCTTTTCGCATTCGTATGAAACCAGAGTCTTCATGTGATAATTATTCAGGGGCTGGCCCGGCAGCTCCAGGTGACGGTCCCGTAAGGTTTTGAGGATAGAGAGGCATTTCTTCCTGCAGCCGCCCATCTGCAGTCTGTTCTCGGCTTCCGCGAACTGCAGCACCCAAGCATCGCTCTCGGCCGAGCTCTGCTTGCCGGCCAGAGAATGGCACTCCTTGGATAAGAGGTTGAAGCCTTCCGCCTTGACCTCCGCCACCCGGTTGGGTCCCGGCCAGGGGATGTGGGGAAGCGGCCAGTGGGCAGCACTCCGCGGCCAGATCCCCGTGCATTTGAACGCCGGAGTGATCTGCACGACGTACCTATCCCTGATTCTCAGCTTCACTTCGCTGGTGTCCGCCACCATCTTTACCACGTCTCTGTAACTGCACTTATCCACGGCTTGAGCCACCAGCGTCTGAAATCTGGACCGGATTTTGCGAGCGGAGAGGTAGCCAGACGCCGTGATGAACTCCACCCAGAGGGACATACTCCTCTTGCGCCCGTCGCTTAACTTTAACACAGCGCAGCCCGGCAAGGAGCCGTCGTCCACGAAGTTGAAAACCCCCATTTGGTTCAGATACAGCACGACTTCAAACTCCGTGGGGGAGATGACTTCCAACCCCTCGTAGCGATTGTCCATCTCGTTCAAAGAACTGATGAAGCGAGGCTCCTGTACCTCCACCTCCTTCAGCACGTCCGACACCACTTTGCAGACTTCTCGGATCGTTTTGGCGATGGCAGCTTTCCTGGCTTGGCATTTCTCGTTGTAGTATTTATTCAGATGATACACCAGCTTGGCCTGGGCCGCGATCATGTTGGGGCAGAGATCCGGATTGTATACCGGAGTCTCGCAATAGGCTGTGGGATCCAATGCGGCTGCTAAGGCTGGAGCCAACTTCAGAGGAGAAACAGGCTGCCGCACTCTGAAATGTAACAAATGTTTTTTTCAAAATGCGCTGGGGCTGCTGCTCCTCAGATGCTCTGGGGGCGATATTTTTCCTCCCCCTTTTTTAAAGGGTCCGTGAGTGAGAGGAAAGCATCGAGAGCTGCACCTTCCCCAGCAGCAAGAAAAACAAAAGTTGCCCTGAGACACAGCGAGGCTTCCAGTAGTCAAAATAATAAAACCTCTTCGTATTTATTTATGTTTTCCCGTAGTAATCACTGTGTGTGTGCAGGGTGGTTAATCAGATGGTGGAAAAAAAGTGCCGTGTGTGTGTGTGTATATGTCAGAAGAAGCTGGCTGTTGGTTTGTATAAGAGCCCAGATGCACTCGTGTGGAAATTATAAAGGCAGGGCCAGGCAGGCGGGCGGCCAATCGCCACTGGGCTCGTCACTGCAGCCTCTTTCAGCTCAAACCCGGCTAATTAATCCCTCTCTAGGAGATAGATATGTACACACAGACACACACACGCACACGCAGGCACATATAGAAAGATAGAAGGTTACTGGCAGAAAAACCGCCCCGGTCATCTGTACGCTCGGAAATCAAGAGAAATCGCTCTTCTTTGGGTGTAACTTGAAGGGTATTGACGTTTCGAAAGGACTTGGCTAAACTGTGCCGCTCCGCACGCTCCCTGCGTGCCTCCCCACGGCCAAGACGGGAATGCAGGTGTATTAATGGGCATCCATCAACTAGGGAGCTACAGACTGGGCTCGCTCCTGCAGGAGCAGAGGCGCAAATCCATTAACTCACACTTGGCGTCACATCACTCTGTCCTTCCTTCCTGATAGTTGCCTGTAACTGCAAGGGAGAAGTTGTTCGGTTTTTTCCTCTCGGGAACCAGCCGGTGAGCAAGGCAGCAGATTCACAGCAAATTTAGTGTCCTTTGGAATAAAATATCACGCAAAACTCAGCGATTTGTATTGTTTTAAAACATCTTCTGACGGGCTCTAATCGATGTTGAGGTTTAATGCATTTCGGCATTGTCACTGCCTTGCTTTTGGTGTTCATACCTTATGAAGGGAGACTCAATCGCTAAACGTATCTGTCAGGGCTTTTTTTCACGTTCCCTCCAGAAATCAAGCAGCAGATATGAACGGTAAATCTCATCTGCCAGTTCTTAGCTTCGTTTTTATATAAGCCGTCTAGTGCTCCAATATGTTGCAAAGAATGGATGTTCAGCTGCTTTTTGAGACGCACTAGAAGTATCTATAAATTTCAAACCAGGACGGTTTCTCGTATAGCGAGCTCAGCTAGCAGGCTGCGTTTAGTGAACGTGCGCAAGGGAAGGGATGCCAGCGACTGCAAACGTGCTGGCGTGCTACTAATGTGACAGTTTGGGGTTTCGTGTGTGTGATGTGTAATTAGCAAATTTCTCCTTCGGTACCTTAAGTGTTAGTAATCAGGACCTTTATTTGCAAATGAGCTGAAGTGGCAAACTCTTCTGCTTGGTCGCAATTACTGAGCTTCACTTCAAGAGAACCCTGAGGTATTGGGGTTTTTTCTAGGGGGGGG